TTCATGGATTGACACAACCTGGCAGTGGCCTATCTTCTTGCTTTCTTCGGCCCATTTTCTAGCGAACTATGTTAAGAACTGCTCAACCGTCGCAAAAAATTCAGAACGATTTTGCAATTACATTGTAGGCATAGTATAACTAATTCACTCTGTTTGAAATCATTGGTCAACAACCCTTCGGTGCCTGTGGGGAGGTGCAAGACGCACCCCCTCCTCCTACAGCCTACAGAATTCCCCATAGTTTTTACTTTGATTAACTTAAGAGTCATCTTCACAAACATAGGTCATATGGTTTTCATAATGTTGAAGAAGAAGAGCATCACTACTCATCTCCTCTTGACAAATCCAGCAGCTGTAAACCTCAAAGATGAACACTTGTGCATCTGCTAGATCAGTGTTTCCAGTCTCCCTCTGTGTTTGAAGGTTGTTTGTAAATGCTGCGGCTCTAACATTAACGTTTTTACCTCCCGCTCTCTTCGGCTTGCACGATTTCAAACCCTTAGAAAGACTTTTGTTTTTCCGGGAACATTTACTTGACTCAACCAGGGTGTGGATTCTCTCATGCTTCCTCAGCCTTCCTGTTTCATTGAAACGCTTGCTACACTGTTTACATTCATAAGGCTTTTCCCCAGTGTGAACTCTTTCACGACTCCTTAGGTCTCCTGCTCCCCTAAAACACTTGTCACACTGTTTACATTCATAAGGCTTTTCCCCAGTGTGAACTCTTTCATGTCTCCTTAGGTTTCCTTCTTGGCCAAAACACTTGCCACATTGATTACAATCATAAGGCTTTTCTCTAGTGTGAACTCTTTCATGTCTCCTTAGGTTTCCTTCTTGGCCAAAACACTTGCCACATTGATTACATTCATAAGGCTTTTCTCTAGTGTGCACTCTTTCATGATTCCTTAGGTTTCCTGCTACACTAAAACACTTGCCACATTGTTTACATTCATAAGGCTTTTCCCCAGTGTGAACTCTTTCATGTCTCCATAGGTTTCCTGCTTGGCCAAAACACTTGCCACATTGTTTACATTCATAAAGCTTTTCTCTAGAGTGAACTCTTTCATGAGTCCTTAGGTTTCCTGCTACACTAAAACACTTGCCACATTGTTTACATTCAAAAGGCTTTTCCCCAGTGTGAACTCGTTCATGAATCCTTAGGTCTCCTGCTTGGCTAAAACACTTGCCACACTGTTTACATTCATAAGGCTTTTCGCCAGTGTGAACTCTTTCATGACTCCTTAGGTCTCCTGCTTGGCCAAAACACTTGCCACATTGTTTACATTTGTAAGGCTTTTCACCAGTGTGAACTCTTTCATGAATCCTTAGGTTTCCTGCTACACTAAAACACTTGCCACATTGTTTACATTCATAAGGCTTTTCCCCAGTGTGAACTCTTTCATGACTCCTTAGGTGTCCTGCTCGGCCAAAACACTTGCCACATTGTTTACATTCATAATGCTTTTCCCCAGAGTGAACTCTTTTATGCTTTCTTAGGGTTGCTGCTAGACTAAAGCACTTGCTGCACTGCAGGCACTTAAAGGACATTGAGTTTGTTCTTCTTGTAACGTGCTTTAGTTATGGTACCCTTTGGCAGGAAAAATAAACATTTTTAGGTCAATGGACAATGATATTTTGTTGTGGTGCCCCAACTTTGTAGCAGGGGGTGCGAGATCTGAAGGTTGTTAGGGAGATACCTGTCTATGAAAAGGTAATTCTAGACCTGTCATAAACTGACTACATACCTACACGTACAACTTTACATGACCCCTTTAACAAGGAGAATCCATCCACAGGGTTAAATTAATCATTTGTTGACTTTGTTTTTGGATCGGAGACTTCCCTGTGGTTTGTAAAATAACACGCATTTATAAATGGTAATTAAGGCTCATCATGCAGCTTTACTACAGAAAATAGTGGACCTGTATTACTGTAAATCCCCTATAAACTCCCTGGGGGCTTACTTTGTCTAAAGCCTGTTTAAGAGAGAGTAAGGATTATTTTGAGAGGGAGGGTTATTTAATTTAGTGAAATGCATCACCAAAACCAAAAAATAAAAGAAGAGGAAGAAGCAGACAAAAGAAAGGGTTGCCTTTTGCCGATCAACTGCATCATCCGGGGTAAGAAAACAGTATTTCGCATCATGAAAAAATTGGTGTAAAGCAAAATGTGTAAAAAGAGTAAGAATGAGGCGGAATGTACCAGAGGTATAAAAATAAAAACTTCAGCAAGTGTCACCCTTGAAAGGCATAACAATAGTCTTTAAAAAAATATGTCCTCAAACTCGTTGCATTCCTCATGTTAGTTTAGGCCTGTCTCAAAGTAAACCGATCTGCAAAAAAACATGCTGGTTGACAAAATCCCTCAAAAGACAAAAACAGATTCTAAAAAACAAAAGATCGAAAATTGCGTTGCAATCCTCACAGAATGTGAGGGACTGTGAGGACTAGCTCAATGTAAATCGAACTGTGAAGAACACGTTGGTTCTGATAAAAGTTTTGAGAGTGTAAGCCTATTCATTGAACAGCTACTGCTTGAAATTCAATTTACAAAGGAAAGAAAACACTGAAAACGAGCTGTGTGGAATAAACTGGCTTCAACAAAAATTTGAGCTTACAACCCTATTCTTTGATCAGCTGTTGCTTTAAATGTAAATTATAAAGCAAAATTCAAATTTAAGAAGGTTACACAGAATTATGAATACAGCAGAGGCAACCTTGCTTCTTAGCTTGGTTGCCTCATTGGCAATAACACACATTTACAATATTGGTCATTACGGTTTATCATGTAGCTTTAAATGTGGCAATATAGTGGAACCTGTATTACTATAAACCCTCTACAAAGCTCCCTGGGGGCTTATTTTTTAAGCATATTTAACAGACAGGGAGGATTATTTGATAGGGAGGTTACTTAATTTAGTGAAATGCATTACCTGTTCTGAAACTGGAACAAACAAACATCAAACAAACAGCAGCCAACAGATGATATCAATTCTGTATAAAACGAGTGGAATGCAAATTGGAAACACTCATGCACATGAATTAAGTTGGAGGTTATGCAGTTAAAGATTAAAAACAAATCACAACTTCTAGCACATGAATAAGTTATACCAGATCAGCAGTGATTTTGCTACAAATAGTTATGGTACAGTGTACGTCCTGGGACTCATCTTGTGGAAAATCATGAGTCCCAGTTCAAAACGCAATGAGATCTAGGGGACGGTTCATTATTTATGGGAATGACCGGGTCAGGAAAAAACTGAACGGACCTTGAAGATTTTTCTTCCCGTGGTGACAAGCTTTATGTTTTTTTCTTGAACAAAGAGATCGGGCTTTAAAAAGATATCAAATTTAGCTAAAACTGTGGTAGAAATGCAACAGTTATTTGGTGAGACAACACATGGAAAATATTGAAATACACCCAATAAATTGCGGTACAGGGAGAGAGTAGATGATGCGCCAGTGTTAAAGGATTTCACAACTGCTCTCCCTGCTGAAAACATCAAAGCTGATAAGGAGTAATCTTAAGGAATACCAATCTGCGACTCAGAATAGGAAATCATGTGTCCCTGGAAGTGCGAACATTAAAAAATTCTACAATTCATTAATGCCCATTACAAAAATGGTGAGCTCTTTATGGAGTACTTGCATGGTGACTGCTCTACCATAAACGGATGGGAAGACATAAATGAGTCTACTGACGAGGAAGCAAAGGAAGGTGGAATGGAAGACGACGGCAAAGAAATTGATGGCTCAGGGGACTGATGAAAGTGAGGAGGATATTGTCCTTGGAGAATGGTCAAGTGGGCCTGACTCAGAGCGAGACGCAACTTCTGGCGAACGCGAATGTTATAGCATCGATGAAAGTGATAAGACATGGTTTGTCTTTGAAAGTGATTCAGAGGAAGAGGTATTTTATGGTTTTGACTGAGTTTGGAAACAGTTGATGTTCTTAAAATTTGATGCAGGTCACTATAACAAAATCTAATAAATTACTGTAGTATAATATAGAAATTCGTTTAATTTTTACATTAGTTACCAGTCTTTCCATGTCTTACTGATGTAACAGATACCTGGAACAAAGTATTGAATGTCCTCTCAAATCGTCTCGGGAACATGTTCTCAATACAATCTGTAAACACAGGTTTGTAGAAACTCATTCCTTTAAAAAAAATATCAAACCCTTTGAAGGAAAATGTTTACTTCAAAGGAAGTTCTGTTTGGAGAGGTAGGAAAACTTCAAAGGTTCTTCCAAGTCATTATATTTGATCCGAACATCCGAATATACACTAGTTGCTCTACTTGTAAATAAACATTCCATGATTTTCCCAAGTTACTCACTTCAAATCAGTGTCAAATGGAACGGGCATTGGAAAATTTGACCCCAAATGAACGAAGAAAGCGACTATTTTTTCCCCGACCCGGTCATCCTTACAAATAATGAACCATCCCTAAATTGAAAATGCTTTGGCCTTTACGTAACCAGGGAGTTAATCTGAAGACAGACTCCAAACCTCTGTATTACAGTTTACTGAAATAAAAATATACTCCTTCTATCTTAAAGTACAACAAAGACTAAAGGAAATTTAATATACATCATTAACAACAGCCACAGAAATTACACAAACAGGAGATTCTAGAAAAACATCTTCATATCACTTGACCAATCTTTGTGTTCTATGGAATGCATACCATGAATTATTTTGCATCTTTAGGGATTTTTATGCTTAAGGAAAGCAGGACTCAGAGGTGACAAAATCCTTGGATCAGTCAACATGAAGTGTCACAGTTTGATTTATTAATACAACCTATCCCTTATTCATTTGGTCCAAATAATAATTAACAATTATTCCTCAAGCCTGAATGGGCCCTGAGTCAATAGACCATGAGGTCAAAGGCCATGAGAGCGAGAGGAATAACAGTTTTAGTAAAATCCAACTAGTTGGTCAAATGCTTTTACAACTGTGTACGTGAATAAGAAAGTCTTTAAGAAATCACGGCAGATAATTTTTTAACTAATGTGGAAATTGAATTGAACAACAAAGTAAACAAGACTCTTATTGAATTCAGCTATTTTCTTCAAAATTGTTTAGGTACAAGTCGACTGCTATCTGTGAAGAGCAAGGAGAGACAGCTGTATCCACAGGCAAAGATAATATGTGACAACACTCGACGTCCGTGTTAAGTGTAGAACTGTCAAGGACTGGAATGCATTACCAAGCGAAATTGTTAACATTAAGTCCGCACATCGATTCAAAAAAGTCTTATTTGAATATTTTAGTCAATGATGAATTTTTAATATTACATAATGATTGATGCTGTGGAATTTTTATCCATTTTATCTTTTGTTGAAA